CAAACTCTGGAAAAGTTGTAAATGATGTAGTAGAAACAACCAGTGCGATTGTAGGTGATGTAGTAAAAAGTGCATCGGCAGCCGTTACAGCTGCTTTCTTAAAACATAAGCTGCCTATAGAATCCGAGGCTTATAAGGAGATTCAAACACATTTTGCTATGCTTGAAAAGCCCTTTGAAAATTTGAATTCAGAATATAAGCGGACAAAGTATTGTGAATCAATTGGACTTGTTGAACCACAAGAAATCAAGTTAGGCATCCGATATGATAGTCGTCTCAATAAAAGAACTAAGCAGTATGAACAGATTGCTATTGAAGATACATTTGTTTACGTTCCCATTTTAGATTCTTTGAAGCAGCTTTTAAGCAATAAAGATATATTGCATTTTGCTACTCATGACCATAAGAGCACAGATGGTGTAATGAGAGATTATTGTGATGGTTCACAATTTGAGAAAACCCCTCTTTTCCATGAAGATGAGAATGCCCTCCAAATTCACTGTTTTTATGATGATTTCGAGACTGTGAACCCCATTGGTTCAAAAACAAAAATTCACAAGATAGGTGCTTTATATTTCATTTTGAAAAATCTGCCACCAAAGTATAATTCCAATCTTTCCAATATCAATCTTATAGCTCTATGGTATGCTGAAGATGCCAAGAAATATGGATTTAATGCTATTCTCAAGCACATTGTAAAAGACATTAATATCCTGTCAACAGTTGGCATTGCTCTCCCTAATGGAATTGTGAAGAAGGGGACCATTACTCAAATAAGTGCTGATAATCTTGGTGCTAATTCCCTACTGGGATTTGTAGAGAGCTTTTCTGCTCATTATTACTGTCGATTATGTGTTACAAGTAAGGAAGAGGCACAGAACAAATTCAAAGAGGTTTCAATGGATATGCGCACCAGGCAGACTTATGAGCAACATTTAGAAGAAGCTGAAGCTCAAACTACCCAGTCACATGTGTTTGGAGTGAAACAAAAGACTGTATTGAATGATTGTATTTACTTTCATGTCTTGGCAAACTTTTCACTAGATATAATGCATGATCTTTTGGAAGGCATAGTTCAGTATGAGCTGAAACTTGTTCTAGAGTATTTCATATATGAAAGGCAACCGCCCCTCTTGTCCCAAGATGAACTGAATCAGAGAGTCGCCAGCCATTGCTTAAACCGTACAGATAACAAGAACAAACCATCCTTTATTAAACTTAGGTCAGCTAGGAATGATGTTGGACAGAAGGCTATGCAAGCATGGTGCTTGATTCGAAATCTGCCATTCATAATTGCTCAAGACATTGAAGAAGGAAATGTCTACTGGGAATTGCTACTTAGATTACTAGATTGTATGGACATTATTTTTGCTCCTCAATTGACAGCAGGCTTGATAGCCCAATTGTCTATTCTTACTGAAGAACATCACACACATTTCCAGAAAACCTTTCCTGACAGAAGGTTGTTGCCAAAACACCACTTTATGGTGCATTATCCAACGTGTTTGAGAGAAGTTGGGCCACTCATACATGTATGGTGTATGAGGTACGAAGCGAAACATCACTATTTTGGCCGTGTTGCAGAATCTGTGCGTAATTACAAAAACATTTGTAAATCACTTGCCAAAAAACATCAGACAGCACTAACGTTCCATCTTCAGTCAAACCATCCTTTGGAATATCTGGAGGTTGGGCCAGGTAGTTCACTACTTTTGTCAGATTTAGATGAAAATATTGGACAGATTGTGCAAGAGCAAATCCAAGTAGAGGATCTTTCTACTGAATTATTTGATGCCAACTGGGTTAAAGTACATGGAACACATTATCAGTTGTCACTTCTGGTCTGCCATGATGTTAGCGAGCTTCCTCTGTTTGGTCAAATAGAGCATATCATTGTACACAATAGCACTGTATTTTTTGTACTTGTCCAATTAGATACAGTGTATTACAATTCACACTATCATGCCTATGCAGTAGAATTTAGTTTTCCACGTTGTCATGTAGTGAAGAATCAAAAGGAACTTGTTGACTACAAACCACTAGATTTGATGACAACTTTGTCGAAGACAGACTCGAGGAAGTATGTAGCACCAAGGCATGTACTTTTTAAGTAATTTAAAGCTTTCAAGCTAATGTCTGGTTTTGCTTAGTGGTATCAATTGGTTTTAAAAATAATTTTGATCAATAATATTTTGGACTCTTAATTGTTAACATCTTTAAATTGGTTAATTCGAAACCAAATTGAAGTCAAATAGCTGTTGTATATTTTCTTTTTTTTTCTTACAAGAAAAACAATTCTATGATGTTTGTGCATGAAAGCCAGTGAACTAGAAGTGCATGGACTGATTTTTGTTGTTGTTGTTTATATCCTGTTGGAAAAACGAGCAGCGAATTAGTTGATATAGAAATGCATAATTTTACTTTTTGATTTTTTCTCCCAGGAGTAAAATGGGAAATACATGTTTGTAAACAGAAAGCTGTAAAAGAATGTTCACCTATATTAGAATGAATGTGGAATATATAGTGTTTTTTTAATGTTTTTGAAACATTTGTTTAACCCTTTACAAGCAGTGAAGGAGATAAAAATCCCCTGAAATAATTAAATCATCCTGAATCTCAATGGTTGCAGGCCTGTGGTAAAAAAAAATCTTGTTAAACAAAACTGCTGGATAAGATTTGTTAGTTTTGCTATTGTTCTTGAAGGCTGCTTCCTAGCATAAGACATTAAAAAGCCTTACTATAATTAGTCTGCGAGCACAGACCATTGGCTTCGGTTTTGCAATTTGCATAGTGCACGATGTAAAATGGAATATGTTTGTAAACAGAAAGCTGTAAAAGAATGTTCACCTATATTAGAATGAATGTAGAATTTATAGTGTTTTTTCAATGTTTTTGAAACATTTGTTTAACCCTTTACAAGCAGTGAAGCTAGGAGATAAAAATCCCCTGAAATAATTAAATCATCCTGAATCTCAATGGTTGCAGGCCTGTGGTAAAAAAATCTTGTTCAACAAAACTGCTGGATGAGATTTGTTAGTGTTGCTATTGTTCTAGCATAAGAAATTAAAGTCATACTATAATTAGTCTGCGGGCACAGACCATTGGCTTCGGTTTTGCAATTTGCATAGTGCACGATGTAGAGTCTGCATTTAGAGACTACATATACACATACAGTTATGCTCCCTTTAAGGGATCATGATATGAGTGAAAGTAGTCTCTGACTGCAGACTCTGAAATATGCACTACGAAACTTGCGAAAAACCGAAGCCGAGAGTCTGCCTGCAGATTATACTAGCAGTTTCCAAGGTTTTTTTTTTTTTTGGGGGGGGGCACTCTGTATATTTCATATGAAAAAGATTCTGTGATATTTTCCTTCAGCATGCATGTACTAGGATTCAAGGTGAAATGTGTCAAAATTCTTATTAGCTACATAATTCACTCTGATGTAGAAGCATAATGTTTGTTGTTTTTTTTGTTTTGTCTTCATTTATACATGCATTTTGCATCCTGTTTAGTTTCTATTTATTAGAAACGACTTTGATTTTTCATTCCTTGAAAGGAATTATGACATTGTTTAAAGTTTTTATATTGGAAAATTTTTAGTTACTTGTTTCATCCTTTTTTTTTTTTACTTATAAGGGTGGATTCATAATAACAGATTTTGAATGATTTTTAGTTACTTGTTTCATCCTTTTTTTTTTACTTATAAGGGTGGATTCATAATAACAGATTTTGAATGATTTAAAAAAGTGTGTTTTGTTGTATTCAGACAAATGAGTCACAGATTTTGAATACATGACAAAAGGATTTAATGTTGAACCATACAAGATAAAAACGCTAAGCATCATTGATTTCAACATGAATGAAAACAAGTTGTTTAATTTATTGATTAAACAAGCACCATGTGTTTTTGTTTACGAAAAAAAATTGTTTCTTTTCACTTCTTGTGTGTATTTGAATATTTTCTGTGCATGTGTTAAGATGGAGTGAGCTGGAATGAATTGTTGGTGTTGAAAGAATGGTGTGTTGAGTTTTTTAAACACTGAGACTAGCATTGAATTGCAATACCAAGAGTAGAAAAGTAGTAGACCTTTAGTGTTATATAACACCAAAAATAGGATTTATTGCAACACCGAAGAATGGTGCTGGATTTTATATTAACACCATAAATAGAATTGGATTGCAACACCAAGAGCAGAATTATACTATTTAATTCTAGAATTGGTGTAAAATAACACCAACAATAGAATTGAAGTGCAACACCAAGAGTAGAATTAAAATTATTTCATTCCAGGCGGTGGTGTTAAATAACACCAGAAATCAGATTCATTGTTACACCAGAAAATGGTGTAGGATTTTATATTAACACCAAAAATAGAATTGAATTGCAACACCAAGAGTAGAATTGAATCATTCAAATCCAGACCTTGGTGTTAAATAACACCAACTGGTGTTTTCCGATATAGATACCGGAATGGTGTTAATATTAACACCTATGGTGTTGAATTTAACACCACTGTTTTTGCAGTGTAGGCATTGTAAACAAGTATTGGGTTTAAAATCGCCTAACATGAGGGCAATTATGTGTGGAACCAACTTTTTGGCCACTCTATGCTCCACTCTTGAGATTTTCTTTGCTCAATTTGTAATCAAAGATGATCTTGATCTGAAAAATCTTTGCCCAAGTTCAGCAAAGATTTGGTCAAAGTTGGTCGGACACATTATTGTCATGTTAGGCATTTCAGTTACCGAATATGTTTTACTGTGAGTTGGATTTGTGTATGTTGTTTTCTTCTTTATCTTTTTATTATATTGGTGTTTAAAAACAAACCAGAGACCCAGGCTAAAGGGATCGGTTGATAACTAAAAGTATACATCATTATTGTCTGCTTTAAAAAATATATATATATACAATCGACCCTGGATGTTATATTTATACAATGCAAAGACGAACCGAAATTAAATTCAATCGAATGTATTTTTATCATTCATTGTTTCAGCTTTGTGGCGTACTGATACAGGACAACCAACCATCGGGAGTGGCAGAAACTGTATTAACTATCTATACAATAGCCATGGCTTAGAAACTTCTAGTTGTGGCGACTCATACCCAACCCTTGCTCTATGCGAAGGTAACTACTTTAAATGGGAAAGTTAAATGTAATTTGTTCCATACGAGGCTACCGACTGGATCAACGATTGCAGTAAACCTAATGACTGTATTAAGCTTATAATCCGTCCATAGCCTAGATCAGATCAAGTATCAAGAATAATGGTGTTTTTATTTAGATTATGTTCTCTATTCTATAATAGGTCAAATGACCCCATACATTTCACCTCATTGCCCAAATTCGCTCAATTGTCATTATATGAAAATGCAGTGTTCAAATTTTGTTGGGTAATGATATGTTAAATATTGACCACTTCTACTTAGATATTCAATATACATCTCGTTATGTTATGTCCAATGAGAACAACATTGGCCAAACTCTTTATACAGATGTTTATGGGACAAATACAGACTTAAACCCATTAATTATTTACACAAACTCATATCTACTACTTCTATTGAGTAGTGATAACAATTATGTGGCACTATTTATCACACGTCGATGAAGAGTGGCAAATCTAACTTGATATGCCCAAGGACATTTATACCTGGGCAGGGATTCGAACCCCGTACTGTGTCCTTCATTGTGACGTATTCACTAGACAGTGAGACTGCAATGTTTGATCAACAATTAAGAAGTACCAAATTCAAAGCATTATACAGGTTTAATGTTGGTTATGGCTCATCCATTACAGATTGTAAAAGTCATGTTGTATTGTCTTAAATTGAAACTTGATAGGATCACATAATTCATCATCACGAAATGCGAATTTTATTTTTCGAAATTAGCTATCAACCTAAAAAGAATTCAAAGATTTTATCGTTATTACACTAATGGGTTTGCCAGTAAATGCTGAGAGATTTAGAGAAACGACTATTCTGTTAAAGTTGGGTCTTTGATCAAAATATTTTGTCCTTTACAAGTATGATATCATATACATTTATACCTTTGATAATCACCCTTGATATGTTTTTGTGTTAATATGATCGACGTAATTTCAATTGCTACTAACAGGAAGTATTTAGTAATGGATATACTCTTAAAATATGTTACAAAACATTGAATTTATGAGGCATTTGTTTTTACTCGTTCTTTTTTGGTACTGCAACAGTTGACCCGATACCAGATACAACACCTTCTCCGCCTCCACAGCAAGCCAAATATCGAAACCGATCAGGATTCTACTCAATGGCAAAAGACAACAATGGAAGCCCTATGATTGACTACTGTCTTTCAGATCACGTGATGAAGACAATATATATGAAGGATAAACTGCATTGCGCCGCTGAATGCGAAAAGGAACCCGGATGCATGTCATTCAATTACAGAGATGGTAAATGCGAGCTGAACGCTGAAACAAAAGATGGGGCTAGTTCTACCTCATTCTCCCAGCGTGATGGATGCTTATATTACGAGCCTCTCTGAAATTAAGGCAAATCCAAACTGAAAATACCATAAAGGAAATTAATAATCTAAATCAAATCCTCGATTTTTTCTTTGAATAATATCTTTATCAATATTTATGTTGATTGAATCTTATGGAAAGGAAAGGTGAAGGTTTTATTGTTATATTTTGCCGGAATGCGGTATATAAGTACCTGTAATGTGGTTCTATTTATGAAATTAATCTGTAAATGAAAAGAAACGTGAAAGATTAGCAGATAAGCATATGATTATGCTACCATCACAGGTAATGATAACAGAATTAGATTCCCTAAAGTCGTAGTTTAACGCTGTAATTTAAAATATTTTGAAAAAGTAACGTAACTGGTTGTTGATTATATTTTCACTGACCATTTCTCAGTTCGGATGAAAAAGATATCTTGTAAGGTTTGCAGTTATTCAAAAAAAAAATTGTTACTTAAATGTACACATCTAAATATTGCGTAATTATGAACAATTCAATTCAATTTGTAATTGATTATAGTGGAATATATTACACATGAACTAGTCTTAGGCTTTGTAAACTCCACGCTGACGGAGCATTGGCACTTGTTACAGACCTGTTTAAAGGAACATGGGCACATATATGCCAGGAGGCCAATGTTAAATACCAACTTAAATACTTTTGAATTTTGCGACCGAGTGAAAAGAGTAACCTACACATTTCAGAAACCATATTGTGATGATATCCACCGTCGGTTTCTACTGGTTTGTAGCATTATTATGCAATTTGGTCATTACAATTTATCTCTAAAAAAAGATCATATAGAAGATAAGATTAGGTTGGGGATATAACGTGAATCTTTTAACTTCTGTTGTCGATCTAATCATTACTCATTAATCATTACTTCAAACCATCAACTTCTAAAAGGTATTAGGTAACTTTGCCTCTGATTCTAAACAAAATCCTGGATTTAGCACATGCTGTAATCATATTTATACACCTTTAGGACAGAAATGAGTCTCTTTATTTTTAAAAGCTTTTTATAACACTACAGTCTGTTGGAGAAAATGAGTATGGTAAAACCGGTCACTCAAAGATGTTTACTTTTTTGAAGCACTTCATGATCATTTTGAAGCACATTAGGGCTTCAATATTACACCGTATCTACACGTAGGGCCATGCATCTCAGATTTGTAAAACTTGAAACATTGTTAATGTCTGTCACTCATTCTTAAAACTTTATGAGACTTAGACCTACTCATTTTTTAAGATGGTGGTCTGTCTTATCTAAATGCATTTGTACATATCATCGGGCCACTAGTAAAACAAACAAAAAAATTGTGTAATCATTCATCTGGTAACTAGTAGTTGAGATTTTTTTTTCTTACTTACTTACAGAAATAACGCATACTTTTACGAATAGACACGTTAATTGTTTGAAAATTGCGTAGGAAAAAAAGGGTCTACACAAAATAGATACTTCAATATAAAGTTTTAAAAAAAGAGAAAATTTCATCAAAATAACATTTTTATTTCTGTACGAGATTAACGAGTTTAAAACTCGTATTCCTTCTCTGACTGGTATTTTAATTTAGATTTTTGTATGATTTCATCGCAATAATATAAGTGTGATTTATTGCCTTAATGGAAAGAATTGCTTCAGTTGTCAAAACTGCGTAAAGCCTTGATTTCACCACTTTCGTCTAGTATGAATTTGATTAAGCTTGTGATTAATTGAGCTTCGAGGAAAAAATAATTTAGGCTAGGCAAGGGGCTTGAGACCAATTCAATGAAAATATTGCCAGTTAAGTGATATTAATTCTTCCTTTGGATTACATGCGTGAAGGACACTTTCATTTATCAACCAGAGAAGTCAATCAAAATATGAAAAGCATGACAATTGTTGTAAAGAAGAGGAAAAAATCTGCTGGAATCAGCATGTCCAAACAGATAATTTAAAAAAAAATACAAATATAAAATAACTAATTAAGAAAAAAAGGCTAAAACGTTTCCTTTGGGGCAATTTTTTTTCGACGGAACTTGGAAAAAAAATTATATTGATGTATATTGGCGTACTCCTTCTTTTTCGCCTTGGCGCATTTCATGGGGACAGGATGCGTATATTTTGTATATACGAAGGATCATCATTTATTGTGTTTTTGCTGTATTTGCCGTTTGAAGAAAATAGAACAAAAAATAAACCGCTTAAAACTGAACAATTGTGACATTTGTTTTCATTTAATGTCTTTGAGCGGCTAATCATATCTTTTTAATGTAGTCTTGTATATGTACATCTCTACATCGGGCGGTTCAAAATTCTATCAGTGTTTAACTACTAAAATTTGGTAGTAAGTTGACGATTTACTCCTTCAGTTTTCCTTGATGTATTACACCTGTGCTTATTCAACCTACACCTACATTCATATACAGTATACACTGTGTTGAGAGGTTCTGGTTGAAACTATGGGCAAAAAGTGACTACAATAGTACTATTTGCTGAGGGACGCAAATGGTACTATTGTAGTCACTAAGGCTCATATAGTTTTAACCAGTATCTCGAAAAGAAGACAGGGTACATTTGTTTTACATCCTGCATCAAAAATGTACTTTTCAAATTTCTTTTTAAATTGATGTTTTAATTAAATATGAACAAATTAACAATTTAACATTTTGCAGTTTTAATTTTAAAAAAATGTTTGCCATAAATAGTACTTCTAGTTGAGGTACTACTTACGGATTGGGAGCCGTTTATAGCACTGTTGGAAAAATATTGTTCATTTTTGGTCACGTAAAGAGCTTTCAACAATAAAAAAAAACAATACCTTTTTCGATGCAGGATATAATAGGGATTAGTCTCGCTTTCTAACAAAATATATTTATATTCGCACTGAAGGATTATGCGTACACGCACATAAAGAGAGAAAGAGAGAGAGAGAAAGCTGGGCAAGAAAAAATGTCCCAGACTGAGTGAGACGCAAAAACGTTCGGGCTAAACAAAGGTAAATGTTGTGAAGGAAAGAGAGGAAGAGAGAGAGAGAGAGAGAACGACACAAAGTAAAGGAAGAAATACTCGGTATGTTTACAATAACTTAATATGAATGGAAGAATAAATGAAGGTGATGGTATGAGGTATTTAAATATTACAACCTTGTCTTCTGCTCGATTATCATACAAAATAGTGACTAGACAAGTTTAACATATATAAAATGTATATAAATAAATATACATATATTTAACATATATATTTTTTATATATTGATATCTATATAAATATATATATATATATATATATATATATATATATATATATATATTTATATACAGTTAAAGATAAACTTGAGTTCTGGTAATGCGATTGCATTGTGAAAGAAAAGGTGTGGAATGGATCAGAAAAGTTGATCATATAGCATGTAAGTAATGGTGTGTAATGCAAGGTTCTGGAGTCATCAAAATCATCATAAATTTGGCAGAGTCTTGGTAAAGTTACAATCACTTACAACGAAAGATGTATATGGGACAACACACATGGTGTCGGGGCTAGTACTACCCTGATTTCCTTATCTTTCTATGCTCATTACTCAGCCAGTATACATTTTTACATTCAGTGTAAGTTTCGTTAGATTCTGTGAGAATTCCTTTTTTTTTTTTTTTACCAGAACTCAAGTTTATCTTTAACAACTAAATTTGTCATACCTTTACCAAGTTTTTACTCTTAACTTTTTTATATGCGAAAACTTGATTTGTCCCGATTTATGTTTCTCGTGATTGTGGCATATGCAAGCTTACATCTAAAAGTTTAAAATAAAAGCCCTTATTCAACCGATGGAGATTTCATTATCGAATTACGAAAAAACACAAACAGATCATATTTACAAAGGGTATGAATAATTTAGTACATCTGTATATGGAAATACATTTATATATACAATGCGTCCCAGAAAAAACGAAACCGAGATTTATCGATGTTTCATCATAACTTAATCACATTTATAATTAATAAATGACACATATTTGGGAAGCTTAGATCCTCCTCTTTCATTTGATGCAACTCATTATGATGCATATTTTACACATGAGTGATTAAAAGCAATTTGAAGAGAGGAAACCGAAAAGTCGTTTGGCGGGCGGTATCTGAATTTCAAAGAGAAAATCACATTTCTAGAAAGTTGAGTTCCTGCCCTTTCATATGACACCTCAATCAGGAAAAATTAGCGAGGAATGACAAAGTTCTGTTTGTTTAAATTAGCCCTAACATTTTCATAATTTTAGCAAACAATTCGTTTTCACTGGCTGCCTGCCGTAGCAAAAAGCAGAATTGACAAAAGACTTAACTCCGTTCCGTTGACAATTGGCCATGCATGAAATCTTTCGTCTACGGCTGATTGTCAACGAAACGGTGTTAAGTCTTTTGTAAAGTTCGTTTGCTGAAACGGCAGGCAGCCAGTGAAAACGAATTCGTTTAATCAAATTATGGAAATGCAAGCATTACTTTAAACAAACAGAACTTTGTTATTCCTAGCTCTTTTTTCCTAAATGAGGTGTCATATGAAAGGGCAGAAACTCAACTTTCTAGAAATTTGATTTTCTCCTTGAAATTCAGATACCGCCCGCCAAACGACTTTTCGGCTTCCTCTCTTCAAATTGATTTTAATCACTCATGCGTGGAATATGCATGATTATGAGTTGCAAATGAAAGAGGAGGATCTAAGCTTTCTAAATATGTGTCATTTATCAATCATAATTGTGATTAAGTTATGATAAAACATCGATAATTCTCGGTTTCGTTTAATCTGGGACGCACTGTATATATATATATATATATATATATATATATATATATATATATATATATATATATATATATCATACACTCTCGCCTACTTCGTGGCGTGCGCCAGTAATCCAGTTAAAAAGTGGAAGTTACAAACTGATTCAGCCGAGGACGCAGGTTCGAAACTGAGTCACGTCTTTCGGATGGTGACGTTTAAAGGTCGGTCCCAGACGTAAATAATCATATCTGATTGATACACGTCTGTAAAAACCCAATACACACACACGCCTACTTCACGGTGTTGTGTAAATCGAAATTATTGCCTGGTGAACTTTTAAATGGCTGTGTGTGCCAAATAATCTTTTGATAATTAATGTGTTTGTTGCCAATTAATCCCTTAGCGGAAGGGGATTTGACCACCAACCTGTGGCTTATGTTTTCATTATTTTCTCCTATACCTCATTTTGAAAATAGGACGTGTGTGATAAAGAACACAGTCCGCTATGTTCTCAACCTTTGGGATTTTAGAATCTTTTCTGTCGTTACTCTCCGTGTGTTTACCAGTCAGGTGACCAGATATGTGGTCCAGTGATATTTGCCATGGGCTTTATTTTGTCCAGTTTAGTTAGGGTTAGGGCTGCATTTCGCTTCGTGTCGGAGAGTGGACACCAGGGAAGTTGACGCCGCGTTGTAGCGTATCACCAACATCTACAAATGACACGAATAAGCTTTATTTCGTCAAGTATAAGGTTCGGGTTATAGGGCAGCATCAAGGTTTTAGGTAAGGTTTATATATAGAGTTGGTTATAGTATGAGAGATTCAAATAGTGTCGGAAATAAATTCTGAGGGAATTGACGGGGAGCATGTATCGTCAAACTAACTACACGACTGATGTTGTTTGCAACATCTTATTTGTATTGCTAGATGGTAAGTATACTTCCCCTATTATTTTCCTTTCAAATATGATTTTATTGATACATTACAAACTGTAAGCTGTAGGTAATAGAAACAGCGGTTCCCGGTTTTCGAAATTTAAGTATGTGTGACAACGAACTAAACAAGGAATCGGTGCAGTTAGCAAGGAGCTGAACATTATTAAAAATGTTGGTTGTTTTCGTAGAGTACATGTAAAAAGCAGCTGAGAATATTCAAAATTATGTTTGATTTCGTAGAGTAAATGTAAAAAGCAGCTGGGGATATTCAAAATTATGTTTGATTTCGTAGTGTTTATGTAAAAAGCAGCTGAGAATATTCAAAATCATGTTTTTTTTCGTAGCGTACGTGAAAAATGCAGCTGG